ATATGATATAATTCAAGAATTAGCTATTTTACAAGGTAGTGATGACCAAAATATTTTAAGTGATATAATTAATTTCAGAAGCAAAAACAGCATGTTTAATATAGCAAATTATGTGCAAAGTAGTAATTTCCAGAATCAATCAATTCCGACCTCAAGTTAATATATTAAACTTTGTCTACCCTGCCCATTAAGAGACTAATTCCTAGTTCTAGTTTTTCTTTAGAAAGAAATAGGTCGATTTGGGTTAATATTCTTATGGAAATAGAAATCGATTTAAGATCTAAGACATCAGGAAAATTGATTAGAAAATATTAAAGAAACTGATAATATTGAATATGAATCAGAACAAGACTCTGATACAGATAGCTACACGTTAGTTATTGAATGACAATGAATTTAAAAAATTAATATTATAGATTCATTTTACTATTATATTCAAAATAAAGTTAATATTAACTTAAAAAAACATATAATTGAATTTGACCACATTTGACCGGTCTATTGACCGAAACGTATTTGACCGGTCAAATGCACAACCCTGATTTTATAAGCATAAAATTATGAGACTGAAACCGGTTCAGAGGCATTTTAGCGGTTCGGTTCAGGTTCGGCTAGAAATTTTTTTAGAGGTTTGGGTTCTGTTTAGGTTCGATAAAAATACCGGTTTTAGCGGTTTAACAGTTGGGTTCAGGTTCGGTTTGGATCTCTGTTTTAAAAATTTCGGTAAGCTTTAAAAAATAAAACGAAATTTAAATGTAGAATATTGAGGTGGCAAATCGTTACATAAGTCTGGTTAAAGTATTTAAATTAAGAAGGAATACGGAGTAAAGATTCCAAAACAAGCAATGTTTGCAACATCTAATAAAGTTCTACTAAAAAAGATCACTAAATGTTAAGGAAATAATTATGCGTCAAGAAAATATACTTTATCTTTATCGTCTTGGAAACATCAAAGTGTTCTAAAAAAATATGTTGACGAAAAAAAATGAAACTTATGAGATAGAGTGGCAAGAGAATTATTATGCTTAAATATAACAAGAAAATCGTTATATAAGAATTTTTTTAAAAATGATAAACACTCAAAAAGGTGTAAAAAAATAAATAATAGGTGAAAGTTATAAAAAAAATAAATAAAGCATGGAGGAGATAAAGTAAAAAAAAAAATAAAGCATGGAGGAGATAAAGTAAAAAAAATACATCAAAAGGAGAAAAAAAGTTTTACATTGAAGAAACTTAGAGCTGTGCAAATCCACAAATCTTTCATCGATCCAATATTACTAAAACCTGATCCTATATTTATATTGATTTTTATTTGCCATCTATCTTTGAATCAATGTCATAAAAATATTGTTAAATATCTTTGCCAATCCAAAAAATTAATATGATATATTTTTAAAAACTGTACTGCTGACCCTTTAAAAATTTTGCACAAATTTACTGGCCAATCAGGTGGCCTTTTAAATTTTACGAAAAGTCTGCCCAGGCCCACTACTTTTTAAGACATTATATTTTTAATATCCGCTAATTTTTTTCCTCCTCAATGTCAAATAAGGCTCTTATATCTGTCCACTATGGGTATCCATTTCTATAACAACGATTTTATAGATCAATTGTGTTTGATATCTGTATTGTACATTTGTAATTGAATCGTATCATAAATAACTTGTTTAATTTTTTTGTGAATTTACTATATTATTTATAGATTTAGTATTTTGTCTAGACAGCCATAAAAATAAAAAGAAATAGGCATATTGAAATTTATTTTAAAATGGTTTTAATCAAATTATTTGAAATTCAAAAAAATATATCAAAATTTTAATGACTGGTAGTGGGAAGGCTTATCAAAACTTAAAAAAATAAGGCTGGGCTGAATGAAATCATTATGAACTGGGCTGGGTAATTAAATAATTTTATTTTCAGGCTGGGCCTGACAAATTATACATAAAGAATCAGGCAGGGTCTTACAAATTTTAAGGTAAAACTAATTATTGGTTTAAAAACATTTACAAAACTTTGGCTAAGTGTGCCCATAATTATATTTTGCACAATTTGTCTGGCATAGCTCCGTTTGTAAGCCTCAATTCATGCTGGCTTTTAGTTTTGAAGCTAGCAGTTGTATGATAACTAGCTTGTAAACTAGCTAAATTTTTAGTGTAATCAGGCAATTTGTGTATTACCAGTAGTCAAAATCGTTCTATTTGCATCGATTTTTAAAATGGCTAAATCAGTATTTTATCCAGAAAGATATTACACAAGCCTGAATATTTTGCTCATAGATGGCACAAAGGTTTGGACATCTATTATTGAAATTTCGAGGCTTAGGCAATATTTTTCTTGCTACTAAAATATTGGGTTAGACTTTTAAATCACTCAAACGTAGCAATTTTGCAATTAATGGTCTGTAAATATAAAAATTATTCAAAAATTCATGATCAATGGCAAGTATTCAGGGTTGGGCAAATTTTCAGAAAATTGTATTCGGATACAGATACAGATATTTTATAAAATTTTGTATTTAAGACACAAGATACTTTAGAAAAATTTCAATAAGATATAAGATACAAGATACTTGTATTTTTTTTAAAAAAAAGTATCTAAGATACAAGATACTTTTTTAATAAACTTTAAATAGTCAAAATCAAAATGTATAAAGCTTTATTTTCATATCTATAATATAAATTTATAAAAATATTTAAAATAAATTGTAGAAAATAACAAATTTATTATAAAAGATAATGCGATATTCCATTTAATAATTATATAAGTAAATAATAATAAATCAGCATCATATATCAACATTATTTTTTAATATTATTAATTTTTCAAATGATTTATCGTTCAATCTTTAACGATTTGGTCTATTAACCATATTAGCAAAGCTAAATAATCTTTCAACGGGGGCCTAAGAAGGTAATATTGTGTTATGTTTAATAAATATTTCTTTTATATATTTATAACTATTTAACATATTTATACTCCGCCTGTCATCTTTCATATAATTTAGGACCTCTATTTCAATATCATTTATTGAATTATTAGAATTGGATGTGGTACTTTTAAGGCAAAAGTAATCATCATCTTCATCGATTAAAGATTTTGTTGAATTATTAATTTCAATATTATTTTTAAAAACAATTAAAACTTCATGTAATAACAAATCCTGAAAGCATTTTTTTTCTTTTTCACCATCAATCTAACGATTTTTAAAATCGGGATGAGAAATTGCCAAAAATGCACTTTTAAAATTGTTATCAAAATCATATATATTTTTTAATCTTTTATTTAAATAATTTTCTATGGCAATAGCTAATGGTTTGCAAAATTGTAGATTGGTTTGAATTAAATTTGTAATTTTTTTTAACGACATTTAAAATTAGAGCTGATTCTTCATAATAGCAGTTGATTTCACTCTGTATTTTGTAAATCGCTATAGCCAATGGAGCCATTATATTGCAATATTCTTCTAAATATTGAATTTCAATATCTCTTAATTTAGGAAATTCTAATTTTTGACATAATTTAGGAAGTTCGCCTTTAAATTTTAATAAACTATGAAGACTATCATACAAACTATTCCATCTAGTGCAACTGCTTTGATAAGTTCTGCAGTTTTAGGCCTATTATTTGCATTCCATAGCTTAGTACATTTAGCTATTTCAGGATGATGAATTTTAGAAATGTTAGGAGAATCCTTAATAGCTCTCTCGACATCTGTTGTGGCAATTAGACTTGTATGGCACAAACAACGAATGTGTTGAGGCAATGTTATTGAGGCTTCTTTAGACCCTTAAACAAATAAATAATTTTATTTGAATAAAATTTTTTACTAAATTTACAATATCATAATAAATTTTAAAGAAGTATTTTAATAATACTTTCAATGATTTCGAATTCTATACATTCATCATCATTGATGTCAAAGTCATTCTCTACAGCTTCCATAGAATATCCAAACTCCTTGAAAGCTCAAAGTTAGAGCCGTTATCTGTAACAGTTGCTATAACTTTTTCGTCAATACCAAAGTCACGATGAATTTCTTTATTATGATCATCTTGAAGTACTTCAAAAAATTTACGATTAAGTATGCTTAGTTTAAATTTATTGTTATAATTTTCGGTTGAAGAATCTTCTGAAGACGAAGATAAACATATTATTCTATTTTCTTCTTCCATAATTTTAAAATAGACAGATATAAAACGATTCAAATATGGTAGTTCTAATTGTTAGCAAATTGCTATATGACGACCAACGTCATATATCAAAAATTATCTTAAAATATCTAAATTTTGATTAAATTTTTCATTTAAATCTTAAAACAATATCATTTTAAATTTTAATACTATTTAAATTAACCAATATAAATTTTTTTTAAAGTATCTGAATTTTTTTGAATACAAAGTTGGTTAAGATACAAATACTTTTAAATAATATGTATCTTAGATACTGGATACAAGATACTTTCCAAAATTTTTAAAAATAGATACAAATATCCGCGATACTGCCCAACCCTTCAAGTATTCTACACATATTGGAATACATTTTTGGCAACTAAAATATAAAAATGGACTTTGATAAATGATCGTGCTATTCCCAGCCTAGCTTAATGTTCATTTAAAAAAAATTAAACAACTAGAACTTAAATCATTTAGCACATTTTTAAATGTAAATAAACTAATTTTTCAGGAATATATTTCAGAAAGCTAAATACCTATCCTAAAAATTTTCATTCTATAAGATATTCTATTATTTGAATAATGCAATAGATGTTTTGACTGATTATGTGATTTAACCGTACTGTATACAGTTGAAAATAGGTTAATCTATAAACTGAGTTATTTGTTGCTAAAAGACCTTCAACTATAATAAAAAATTGAAATAGTATAGATTTGAGGAATAAATCAAAATATGATTAATTATTTTTAATTTATCATATAATTTAGAATTGGTTGAATTTAAATTACTAATTTTAATATTTTATAGCAAATATAAATTAAATATACCTAAAATATTTTCCCAAGTGCTGTAAGCCACAGAGACAATCAATAATGATAAGAATCCAAACATAATGACAAATGAAATTCGAATGCTATTTAATATTTTTATTGTAAATAATATTATAATCTGTGACATAAAATTAGGTAAAAGAAAATTCTGACCTAATACAACTTTTACAGGATTTTTTTTTAAATTGGATTATATATAATATTAATTAAATAAATTGGTTTCTTAATTTTCTTTATGGTCAGTCTTACTTCCCAATACTATGTAATAATACAATTATATTTACTTAATAATGGTTTAGAAAAATAGTGACTAGAAAATTTAATTCTTTAAAATTAAGTTATATTTACATTTAGAGCATGTTAATAATTTTTTAGGAAAACTAATCTTGTGGTCTACTTACAAACAATATTTATAATGGAATACATAAATAAATAAATATAACAAAAATACTTACTTATAAGAAATTGCAATCAAAAAAAAAGGAGCCAATAATTTTAAAACTAGCGTTGGTAATATATCTGCAAGTAATATTGCCTAAAAAATTAAAATACATATGAAAATAATCTTCATCAAAATATAGCAACTTACCCCAGTTGATATAGTGTTACATTCATAAAGTGAGGAACGTTTATTAATCACTGTAGAATTAGATAATTGCAACTTTGGTTAAAAAATGTTAATTGTTTTTCATATAAAATAATTTTACTTTTATTTGTGGGGGCTGATACTTAATACTGTGTGCTGTAGATGATTCTAAAATATCATGAGCTGCACTCAACATAACTACATAAGCAAAATTATTACATAGGCCCAAAATCCTATCATTTTTAAAAATATATGTAAAGGTATTATCCATAGATAATAAAACTTCATATATATATATATTTAAAATATTAAATTTTCTCCAATCTGTACCAGCTTTGAATACATAATCTGATATCAATTCAAAATCATTAAATTATGTTGCTAAATAATTTTTTAAAACTTTTAATTTTAAAAAGTTATTTATTAAAAATTTAGTGTTGTTAAATGGCTCGTTTTGAGCCGATTTTTAAAAACGGCTAACTCAATGTTTTATCCAGAAAAATATAATACAAGCCTGAAAATTTTGCTCATAGAAGGAGCAAAGGTCTATACATTTAGTATCGAAATTTCGAGGTTTAGTCAATATTTTTCTGGCGAAAATATTGAGTTAGCCGTTTTTAAAAATCGGCTCAAAACGAGCCGTTTAACAACATTAGAGTTTGTAACGTAATAAATTATTAAAAACTTTCAAAAGATAATTAATAAATTTATTTACCAAAATGATATAACATTTATTCCAAATGAATCGGTCCTTAATTTTTTCAATTTTTCCGAGAGAGTTTGCATCTTCTCTGTTGCTAAAAACATCTTCAACGATAAGAATTCGTTTGCGCTGAATTCATTTGCCTTTTATCTATTAATGATAAGATCATGTTTGATTCGATCCAAAAAAATCAATAAAATTTGAATAAATGAGAACACATTACTACACAAAATATATAGGTTAGTTCTAATTTGTCGAGGTAGAAATAAATAGGTAATCTGGTTGGCAAAACCTTAAAGGGGAATATTGTTCCGGTTATTTCAGTATAAAAAATAACATACAATTTACAACTTCAAGATAGAGAGAAAGGATCCTTGTGAATATAGTGTTGTTAAAAAGTCAGATCTGGCTCGATTTAAAAAACATCTTCATTAAGATTTAGCCAAAATAATATTATGCAAGCCTAAAGATTTTGCCAATATATGGAAGATTTGCCAAGTCTCGAAGCTTATTTAACGTTATTTTTGCTAAAATCTTAATTGGACCGTTTTTAAAACGTCAGAGATTTTTAACAACACTAATAAATAAATATAGGATCTTTTTAAATAATGTAAATATCGTATTTCATAGATATTTTTGGGGGAAACAAAGTTTCAAGTAAGATTTGATATAAAACTTTAAATATATTAAAAATTTTCCATATGTCATCGCTAACGTCATATCATAACTACATTGTCCAATAGTACATTGTTTTAAAATTTGGCGTGGGTGGGAGTTATAATTTTTTTTATATGATATAAAAAAAATATGCTATTATAAATAATCATCTTTTTTTATTTATAATTGTTTATAATATATTTCAAAATATTGTCACAAATTTAACACAATAACTATACAAAAAGTATTTATCTAAATATGAATTTTTCCATAAATCTATTTCTTCGTATTCTTTAGCTGTATTTTTTTCATAAAAGATTTCATCCATCTCGCGATGATTGCTTTTCCATATTTTGATATATGAATCTGGAATCGGCTCCGATATCGAAGGTTCATTAAAATTTAACAACTTAAAATTTTTAATTTCACACACTGCATAATAAAGTGTCCATTTAGTAAAATATGTTATCGAAGACCAACAATTGTTTCATATTTGTTTAATTTGAATATCAATACTTAAAAAAGGTTCATTTATAAAAGGACACTGAAGAACTTGATAAAAAAGAAATATCATAACTTATTATATCTTTCAAAGTCTAATTTATCTTAAAAATATACCTATATGAAAATTTTAAATTCCAATCTAAACATTTGAAAGATTTTTTTAAAATTGGACTATTATTTGCCTTTAGTGTTGTCAAATCCGCTCAATCCCTACCAGTGGCGTAGGAATTGGACCCCCTCCCCTAAAAGATTGATAATAAATGCTTGAAATTTAAAAAACAACTATTTTTATGTTTTTAATTTATTATAAATAATAATTTATCTCCAGTATTTGATTATTTTATATTTTTTTAAATAAATTCTAAATTATTTGCATTGCATAAAAATTGTCTAGTTTGTCATATTTTATTTTATAAAAATATATATATATGTCAATATGAAAAAACAATCATTAGTTTATTCCTATTTCAACAAATGTCAAACAGAGACACAACCGCTACATACTACTATGATTGAGGATTTTTATTCCCCTTATTGATACATTTTTATTTCAAATAAAGGAAAAATTTAATATTCATAATTTTTTTAAAAAACTTTTATTCTCTTTTGCCAGCTGAGTTTATTGATTACACTTGAAACACGAGAGGATCAGAAATTCAAACCAAACCGAACCCGAAGAAGAAAACCCGTGTTTTTGTAAAAAATCTAAACCCGAACCGAACCTGAACCCAGTTAAAGTTTTAAAAACCCCAAACCTAACCCGGGTTCAGTGTATTGTTTAAAATCATATATGATATTTGTATAATTTTATACAAATATTAACAATTTAAATGAGATTTTATAATATTTTCAAGTTTCCAATTAAGTGAAGTGTTAATATTTAAACAACTTTCTTTATTCATTTACGCCATTTTTAAATTTTTTTAAATTTATTCTCAAAGATTCCTATTAAAGTGTTAATAAATTTTGAACAATTAAATTCATTTACGCCATTTATTTTTAATTTTTAACTTATTCTCAAAGATGAGGAAAATGAAAGTGAAGAAGTCATAGTAAAAATTATTATTGGATATTGTTACTTTAAAGAATACGTCTAAATAAAATTTTTAAATTGTTACATGACTATGCTTTGTATTTTTAACTATATTTTGCCTATAAATAAAATAAAAATTTATTTTTTTACACTAAATTTAGGACTAGTTTTATAATTATGATTTAAATATAGAATTTTTTTTTGTCAATTCAAAAATTTTCAAACCAAAGCTGAACCCGGAACCAAACCCGGATTCAAAAATATTACCCTGAACTGAACCCGAACCGAGCCCACCTATTTTTTTTAAACCTTAACCCGAACCCTAACCAAAATATGGAAAATATTTTTCCGGGTTCGCATCCCTGGAGAGGATTTTAAGAAAATCACAGAGTTTTACACTGATGATTTAGTAGATTCATATGATAAGTTACTTTGTGATGTCGAATTTTGGTATAAAAATATTGACAGATTAGAATATTCTTTGAGACCAAAAAAATGCTATGCAAGCCCTTTCCATGTGTAATTGCACTTTAGATCTGCCTAATATCAAAACATTATTAATTATTTTAGCTACCTTACCAATTACCTGCGATAATGAAAGGTCTTTTTCAATTTCAAAAATGTTAAAATCCTATTTAAGAAATACCACTGCACCGGTGAAAAACGTTTAAATTGATTAGCCATATTAAATATTTATTAGATGATTATTCTAGATAAAAATTGATTCTAGATGAATTAGCAAAATCTCGGAGAAAGTAGATCTCTCTTTATATCAAATCGAAAAATTGTAATATGGTTTTATTAGTTTTAATATATAATATATAATATTTATAATCAAATTTTTTCGTAAAATGAATTCTTAGTTATAACATTTATATAATTTTTGTATTAACTCTTAAAATTTATGCGATTAATACTATTTTTTATCAAAGTACTGTGTATTATTTATATTTGATATTATCGTCATATTTTGATAATATTCACATTTTTTAAATACCATTATCTGTATAAAAATTACTTTTATCTTATCTTGTGTAATTGTAAATTACATTTTTTTTAAAATGGAGTTTTTATACATTAAAATTTTTAATATTATAATTTGTATAAAATATCTAAATTCTGAAATTTATTTTAAATAATAAAAATAAATGTATGATTAAATAAAGAAATGTTATATGCTAAAGTATTCTTATATAATTTTAATGTATTAATATAAATATAAATTGTATTTTGTTGATTTGATTTTAAGCTACATTTTTGTAATAGATTAAATAGATAAACGATTTTATAAAAGTATATATGAATATATATTACCTTATTGTAAAAACATATAATATATTTTTATACATAAATAAATCACTTCATTTCATTTGGCGTGATTATTTTTATTAAAAAAAAAGAGAGACGTATTAAATAAAAAGGTTAAAAATATATTATGCCTAACGAAGACTCAAAGAAGATATCTGAACAAAAACGAAGAAACATTAACTTCTACTCAATTCCATATTCTAGAATTCGTCAAAGAAAAAGTTAATATTTAGGATTACCTATATAATATAGAACTCATTTTCAAAGTAAAAAATATTGTTGACCAAATAAATTTTTTATTAGTATACACAGGTACTTATAATTTAATTAAAATAAAAATTTTTCACTACCCAAATAATTTAGAGAGCATTAATTATTATTTGATAGTTAAAAATATTTAAGGATATCTCTAGTATTTTCCTATATCGCAATAATTTTTATACTTTAAAAAGAGGCGGTGAAACTGTTATCCATTTTTCGATCAAATTGAAAAGTATTTGCTCCTTATGTAATCTTAAATCCCCGGGTGATGAACTTTTAAGAGATATTTTTAGCTTAGGAATAGAGTTGCCTGAGTTGGATAAAGACTTCGGTCTAAATATATCGAAGACAATATTACTTTTTAAGATACCGTTGCGTTTAGCGGTCGCGCTATTGGAGAAGGAAACCCAGGCAGATGTTAACAAAATATTAAACATAAGCCGACGCAAGGCTCTAAAAATTGGAATAATAATTATAATAACGTTAATAAATACAATAATAATAATAATTATAATGCTAACAAATTAAACTATAATAATTATAGATCAAGTATTAAACCTAATTCCATAAAAAAAAAGTCATATGCTTCCATGCGAAAAGGCAAACCACATAGCTAAAGAGTGTAGAATTCATGCCATACAAATGATTCTACCATGGACACCTCACCTGTCATTTTCTAATAAAGCTACCATCGATGCGAAGATAAATGGGTTGCAGTTTACTATGGAATTTGATATTGGTGCTGCATGTAGTGTGATAGATGAGGTTACCTGGAGTCGTATAGGCAAACCATCATTTTCGTTTGCATATATACTAGTGGGATATAATCATATCAAAATCGAAGTATTAGGTAAATGTTTAGTGGAAGTCGAAGTAAAGAATATTTCAAAATTTTTACCTATTTGGGTAGTTAAAGGTGAGAATTCCCTTATTTTTGGAATGCCCTTTTTTAGAGAATTTGATATAAAAATTTCGGAAGAAGTTCGGATTAATAATATAAATTATTCCAGTTTAATTACTATTGTTTCAAAATTTCCGCAAGTTTTTAAAAAAAAATTAGGACAATTAAAATTACAGGAAGCCATTATCAAGATACAACTGAACACATTGCCGCGCGTTACCGGCAAGAAGAATTCCATTTCCGTTGCTTCGAACCGTTGAAGCTGAGTTAGACAGACTTTTAGACGAAGGCGTTATGGAGAAGGTGGATCCAACAACAACTCCAATTACTGGGGCTACGCCAACGATTAATATCTTAAAGAAATCCGGTGCCGTGTGAATATGAGGAGATTTTTATTTAACAATCAACAAATATTTTGCGATAGATAACGATTTGCTACCAATTTTCGTTGTCCTGACAAATAGGATCGCGGGTGGTATATTTCAACGATAGATTTAAGAGATGCATTTTTATAATTCGAAGTTAGTCCAGAATATAGGGAGCTT